TTTTCATATAACTTATACATTGCACAAATACCCTATGATCTTCCAATCTTGTTAGTGCCACCAAGGTTACAGAGATTCTGTTTTAACTAATTGACAAAAAATAGTAGTATTATATAGATAAAATTTTTAAAATTTGTCACCAGTGGGTTTCAAACCCCCTACCTATTCAATATACCGCTTGGGGTATAACAACTTAACCACTTCACTAAGTCACTATACCCAATCAAAAATTATTAGATCTACTCATATTATTAGATTTTATATATATATATATATATTTTTTAGTATGTCTTGCCACTGTTTTATTAATTGGTGATTCGCCAATTAGCCAGTGAAAGGTTATAATGTAATGTGACATGGTTTATTTATAAAAATTAGAGTTTTGTGAATATAGGCTGCATCATTCTAAAACTTTTTTTTGTACTAAGTTAACTACCTTTGGGCTTCTAATTGAAGTTGTAGAACTCATTGAGAGAAATCTAATAGCAGTTGAATTATCAAAATCGACTTTGTAAATTATGAGATATCTTTGAAAAATGTTTTGCTGACTATGTAAAATTCTTCTTTAACAATACTATTGTTGAAAAAAAATTTTACATAGCAGGTGAAACGTTTTTTGAAGATATCTCTGATCTACAAAGCCAATTTTGATGATTCAACTACTATTAGATTCCTCTTAATGAGCTCTACAACTTCAATTAGAAGCCCAAAAGTGGTTAACTTAGTACAAAAAAAGTTTTAGAATGATGTAGTTCACATTCGCAAAACTCTAATTTCTATAAATAAACTGTATCATATTACACTATGACCTTTCACTAGCTGACTGGTGAATTACCAATTAAAATATTAACCAAGTAAAAATTACAAAAATTCTTAACTATAGTTATTTTTTTAACTACAACAAGTGACTCACTTGATTTAAAAGCCCAAATATGATATTGCCTAATGGCTATTTGCCTTTCTTCAGGCTTCTAACTTACTAGAGGCATGAATTCTTCAATCATTAGCTAGTACCACATGCCATATCAGTATCATCTTTTCTTTTACAAAACAAAATACAAACACAAATTCAAAGGGCAAAAAAAAAAAAAAAGTGTGATATTTCAGCATCCAAATTTGATTCATCTAAACAAAAAAACTAAAATAATATATAAAAGAAAAATAAAATAAAAGAAAAAAACAAAGATAGTACTATTAAACTCATGTTGGATTGTAAAAATTATATTGTACTACTAAATAAACTAGTCTAAACTCTATGCTAGTTATTTATATCTATATAAGAATATATAAAATATCTATTCTTGAGTAGAGATCCAAGTTCAAAATTTCTCTTGCAGTCCCACCAGGTTTTTGGTATAATATTCTGCAATGCATTCTTATATTTATGCTTGTTTCTGAGCAAAGTTGACAACTGCTGAGATTTTTACTTTTCTGGTAGTCTCAGTATAAACACCGCAACTTCTTGAAGTAATCAATCAAACATTTTTCATCTCAAAGTAGATATGTATGTCTGTACGTGACTTTTCTTTTTCAGCAGCGATTGTTGTTGTCGATCCTTTAATAGTATATACTAAATTTTCTACTTTTTGCCAAAATTTTATAAAGAACAAAAAGTGGTATTTTGGTAGAGGATTTTGGTTTGCAGGTAGCCTCAAACTTCGATAAAGAGTGTGTTGAAAACTTGCTTGTTGTTCTCTTTTAGACTAACTGACTTTTATTTTGTCAACAGAAGCTATGCTTTTATTAAAATTTTTTGTACAAAGGTATCACCTTCTGCCAGTTATCTTGTACAAGAATGCTTTTAACTTGCTTGTTAATATACAGAGGAGTTCAAAAAAAAATAGTAATTAAAACCTTAATCTCTGTAAAAACTGTTACTCATAGTTGTTTCTTCTACTTTCTCCAACAAGTTTTTCATTTTTGTTAGTTATAAGTTTGGTACAAGTAATTATCAGAAAGAGTTGACAAATATTTTTTTGATTATATATATAGTTGACTCCCTCTAAATGTGTTTCGTTAAGACCAGACTTTTAGCAACATGCATTAAGAGAACAATTAAGAAAAATGTATTTATAGAGATCAAATATATATGTGGGTCTAGAATTTAAACCTGTATTTAAAGAGAATATGCATTTAGAGAACATGCATTTAAAGGGAGTTGACTATATTTCATAACAAAACCCAGATTAATTTATTATACAAATTATAAGACTAAAATAATTTAGATTAATTTAGACCTAAACAATATAATAAACTACTAATAATAATTATAACAAATTAAACTAAAATCAGATTAAAATAAAATTTTTTTATTTTTTAAAAAAAATTAAAATTTTTTAAAAAATATTTTTTGGAGTTTTTAGTATTAAAGTTGGGATTTGAAATTAAATTATTAATAAAAGAATATATATATATTTTATAAGCTTTAAAAATAAACAATAGAAATTACTTGTTTTATTTTAATTTAATTTTATTTTAAGTATAAACAATACTATATATGTTAAAATTATATACAGTACCGGACAGTCTAAGATATCTAATTTTATTTTATTATTAAAAAAGTGCCAAATTTAAGTGAGGACAATATAAGATATCAACTTTTTATTAAAAAGCGCCAAATTTAGAAATTTATTTACTAAAAAGTGCTAAATTTAAAAATTTATAGTTAATTTTGATTGGTTCAACCAATATAACACAAAAATATACATATAAATTAGGCACCAAAATTTTAATTTATATATAAAATAGACAAAGTTTAAACTATTATAACACTGTTAAAAATAAAAATAAAAGAAAATCTTTTTACAGAAATATAGTTTTGGTTACAAACTATTAATTTGTAAGAAGTTTTTGTATTTAATAATTTTTTGCCAAATTATACTATTTTTAAAAAATCTATTAAAATAGAATATCTTAGACTGTCCAGTACTATATAAACTTAATAGTAAATTTTTTATATTTAATTTTATAAACAATTTTATTAAATAAGAGAAAAGGTTTTTCATGCACCCGTATGGTTGTGCACCCTATATGATTAGCCAATAAAATTAGTAATCATATATTTTGATAATCATTGTTTTTTTTGCCAATTGCCTTTGCCATTTTTGTTTTGCTTTTGCTTCGCCTTTGCTGTTTTTGCTTTTACTGCTGCTTTGCTTTTACTACTTTCGCTTATTATTTTTCTGCTTCTTTCTCTTTTTTCACTTTCTTTTTTTTTCTTTTTTTTCTTTCGCTTTCTTTTCTTTACTTCTTTTTCCTTTTTTTTCGCCTTTCTCTCTTTTTTTTCTGTTTATTTCTTTTCGCTTTTTTTATTTAATTTTTTTTTGCTATTTTTTGCTTTTCTCTTTCTTTTTTTTCTTTCGTTTTCTCCTTTTTTTTTTTCTTTTCCCTCTTCTTTCTTTTCGCTCTTCCCTTTTGTTTCTTATTCTTTTCTCTTTGTATTGCTTTGATTTTTTACTTTTTTTTCAGTTTCTTCTTTTTCTTTCCTTTCTCCCTCTTTTTTCTTTTTGCTTTTCCCTTTTGTTTTTTCATTCTTTTCTCTTTGTTTTCTTGGATTTCTTTCTTTTGTTTTTCCATTTTTTCGTTTTCTTTTGCTTTCTTTCTTTTCGCTTTTTTCTTTTGTTTCTTTTCGTTGATTTCATTCTCTTTTTTTGTTTTCTTTGATTTCTTCTTTTTTTTTCTTTTGTTTTCTTATTTTTTCTTTTGTTTTCCTTCTTTTTTTTCGCTCTTCCCTTTTATTCTTTTCATTATTTTCATTCTTTCCTTTTAGTTTTTTTAATTTTTTTTTTTTTTTTTCATTTTCCTTTTCTTTCTTTTCGCTCTTCCCTTTTGTTTCTTTTTATTATTTCATTCTTTTCTCTTGGTTTTTCTTTGATTTTTTTTTTTTTTTCTTTTATTTTTCCTTCTTTTCTTTTCTTTTCTCCTTCTTTCTTTTCGCTTTTCCATTTTGTTTCTTTTCGTTGTTTTTATTCTTTTCTCTTTGTTTTTCTTTGATTTCTTCCTTTTTTTTCTTTTATTTTTCTTTTTTTTTTCTTTCTCTCTTCTTTCTTTTCATTCTTCCTTTTTGTTTCTTTTCACTGTTTTCATTCTTTTCTTTTCATTTCTTCTTTTCGCTTTTTCTATTTAATTTTTTCTTGTTTCTTTTTTTTCTACTTTCTACTTTTCTTTTTCCTTTTGTCTTTCTCTTCTCTTTTCGTTTCTTATTTTCTTTCTTTCTTTTTCTCCTCTTTTTTTCATCTTTTCTCCTTTTTGTTCATTTTTCCTTCCCTTTTTTTCATTTTCTCTTCTCTTTTTTTCATTTTCCCTTTTTGCTTTCTCTTCTTTTTTTTGTTTTCCCTTATTCTTTTCTTTCTTTTTGTTTTCTCTTTTTGTTTTCCCTTTTTTATTTTCCCTTTTCATTTCTTTTTTTTGCTTTTTTTTTTCTTTCTTTTCGTGTTTTTTTTTTTTCTTTATCTTTGTTTTCTTTCTGGTCTTTTTTTTCATTTAGTTAACATACTCTATTCTTTTTTTCAGATTTAATTTAATAGTTCTTGTTATCTTTAGTTGGAGCTATCATCATTTTGGAGTCACTATTCTTGGAATCATCATTCTTTTGCCATCATCGATATTAGTATTGTTGGTGCTTTGTTGTTTGTGGGTCTCTTTGTAGTTTAGTTTGTGCTAGTATTTTGCTATAGTATTACATCCTGTAGTTCATTGCTTTGTATTTTTTTATTTTTTTATTTTTTTTAATAAAGACTTTAATTTTTTTTAAAAAAAAATAAAACTTGTAATTGGTTTTGATTGGCCAACCGTGGAGGACAGATCATGTGACCAGTTTTGATTGGTTGATCACAGGATGCATGACTATGCGGGTGCGTGAAAAACCTAAACCTATTAAATAAACTAATTTTAATTATATAAAAATTGTAAAATAGGTTTTTTAATTCAAATAATAATAAATTTCTTAAACTTAATTAAAATTTAATAAGATATAAAGTTTTAAAAATTAGATATAAAATTTTGAATTTTGCTAAAGATCACTGCAGATGATTATCACTGTTCTATTATATATTTAATTAAAGAATTAAAATTTAAAGTTAGAGTTAGTTAGAGCTGGAGTAAAAAAAGTGAAATTATATATAAAATTTTGTGTTTAAAACTTTTAATTTGTATGCAAAGATTTATTAACATAGTAGAATATCTTGTTATCGATATTTTTGGTTTTTTTCTTAGTTTTACTATTGTTTTGATTACACAAAATTTTACAATTTGATTGGTCAATTATATGAACAGTAATGATCACCTGTAGTGATGTTTAGCAATATTCTAAAATTTTAATATTAAATTTAGACAATTTTTATTTGTATATCTGTATATGAAATACAAGTATATTAATATAATAATAGTATCCGATTGAAAAAATATTATCTAGTTATCCAACAGGTATACCTGGTAGGTTAACTGAGTGATTAACAGATTTATTCAAGTGTAATATTTTACCTGATATACCTAGATAAGGTTAATACTTTTATTTTACTAGATAGCTACATGATATTACTAGAACAGAAAATCTAAAAAAAGAAACAGCTAAAATATAAGAATTTGTGACTAACTAATTACTTTATTTTTAACTGATTATAATGTATTTATTTATGCTAATTTTTATCGATATGTGATATATCCATCAAGTAATTATCTAAAAAACAATTAATATTTAATCAAAATATAAAGATCTACAAAAATTATTCGAGTCAAAATCTTGATATATTGAATCTACAAATTTCAGCACTATCTGTCTCAATATTATTAATACAACTAAATAACTCTTTCATATTATTAACTATTTTAAATAAAAAAAAATTCAAATTTTTCATCATTAACACTAAAATCACAATATTTATATTAAAATCTGTTGATGTAATTTTGGTGTAGTCATGTTTATATAAAAATTGTACTAGGCTATTAATAATACGTAAAATTTAATACTATTGATCTTTTTTTTTAACATTATCAGTCATACCGCTTTAATATGTTTCTGATAATATAGATCGTTTTTAATTGTTTGATCAACAAGTTCTATATAATCATCTCATATTAGACCTAAAGATTTATAAATTTAGTATGAATGCTATATAATTTTTTTAAAGTTACAATTAAGTCTATGATAAATATATAAACCTGGGTCTATCTAAGGCTATCATTTCTAGCATCATATTGATAACAACCTCTTACATAAAGATAAATCATTCTATTAGTATTCCAATTTTGATAAATTAAAAATTTTGTATTATTCAGAAAGAAATACAAGTTTTGTAAATTTATTTACTAAAATATACTAATTTCAGAATTTAAACTAGATAATGGATTAGTATATATTTATTATAGCTACAAATTACTCTTGTACTTGTTAAGTTATCGATAGTTTAAACTCAACATAGTTTTATAATGTTTAACAATTTAACTGATTCAAAAATTAATTAAAAAACTTGAAATTATGGTTAGGGATGTAACAAAAATCAGGTGATTTTTTAGGGGGAGAGGAATAAAAAATTTAAAATTATATATAAAAACCTGATCAAAATATATAGTAAGAGAGGGGGAAGGGAGGTAAGCCTCTGATAAAAAAAAATCAGGTGATAAATGATACTGCCTTATAGTACCTAAATAAG